CAGCAACAGCAGGCAGCAGCAGCAGGCAGCAGCAGCAACAGGCAGCAACAGCAAGCAGCAGCGGCAACAGCAGGCAGCAGCAACAGCAAGCAGCAGCAGGCAACAGCAGGCAGCAGCAACATCAGGCAGCAGCAGGCAACAGCAACAGCAGGCAGCAACAGCAGGCAGCAGCAGCAGGCAGCAACAGCAACAGGCAGCAGCAGCAGCAACAGCAGGCAGCAGCAGGCAGCAGCAGCAGGCATCAAAAGCAAGCAGCAGCAGCAGGAAGCAATAGCAAGCAGCAGGCAGCAGGCAGCAGCAGGCAGCAGCAGGCAGCAGCAGCAGGCAGCAGCAGCAGGCAGCAGTGGCAATAGCAGCAGCAGCAACAGGCAGCAGCAGCAAGCAGCAGCAGCAGGCAGCAACAACAACAGCAGCAGCAGGCAGCAAGCAGCAGGCAGCAGCAAGCAGCACCAAGCAGCAGCAGCGGCTCACATCTCTCTTGACGGCTCCCAGCCAGTCGTGGACATTCCACATTCCACGCGGTTGTGGGCCAGTGTCTCCGTAAGACAATCACCAAAGACTTCCCCCGTCCACGCCTGCGCTAACATCGCTACACTATTGGAAGTCAGTGCGGCAATTATTGTATTCGCCCCCCCTGCCCCCCCCCCAGGGAGATGATAAGGCTGAGTTGTCCTCTTTACCAGGATTTGAACTCTCAACCTTACAAATAGGAGTGAAGTGATCCCATCACAGCACCACCGAGTAAGGGGCCGTCCATAAATGACGTCACGCGATTTTGGACGAATTTTACGACCCCCCCCCGTCGTCACACGGCGTCACAAAAAGTCAGACCCCCCCCTCAATTATGACGTCACAAATCCCTGCCCCCCCCCCCCCAAATAAATAAAACATGCTTCAAATCGCTGTAAACTATTGTCATTGTAGTGCATATTTAATGTGGCGCTGCACTCTGATGCTGTAGGAGAAAACATTTATTAAAAAAGTCTATTTAATTAAGTAGAACGTGTTGTCTATATTTATTAAAAGTTGCGCATTTTGATGTGACGTCACATTTCTCACCCCCCCCCCCCTAGGTGCGTGACGTCATTTATGGACGGCCCCTAAGCTGCTCCCACCATCGTTTGCTGATCGACTTTACGCGGACGTCTGCCTGTTGGTGGGTTAATACACGGCTCCGTCTCTGCGCCATACGACCACTGGCCAAGTCTGACAAACGCCAACGCCATCATTTTCTGCCACCATGCAAAAGCTCTCCCGTGCCAGGCAATCAATCAAACAGATACATCGATCATTACCTTATTCAGCTCAAACTGAAGGCCCATTTATAGTCATCGTTCCCTGTTCTGAGACGGGGTCAGATGTTTAAAAAAATATAAATCTGTTTTAGATACGATTCGTGTTCACGCTTGGGGTCTCGGTTCAGTCACCCACAAACAAAAGTGTGCCATGCTCCGTTCAGCGGCCTCGTTATGGGGAAAATTGGGATCCACATTAGAGTGGATCAGCTTGAATACCTGCTAGAAATTGCCGGTGGCGACACGAATCGAACTATTCATTATCCCACAATGACCGGCTCCCCCCCACCCGACCCCCCTTTTCGCTCCTCTCCCCCTCCGATCGCTGCCCCCCCCCCTGCGTGAGTAGCGAGGGGGGGGGGGCAGTGACCCCGACCGCTCTTCCCGTTTTCCTGCCCTGTAGGCCCCTGAACCCGGGCTCTGTTGTCCGCAGAACATTTGTCGTCCCCTCCTCCTTGCCGCCCGTGCTCTTTACCGGGCTCATATACATTTTTATTTTATATACGTGACAATGTTTATTGAAAAAATATTTAAAAATGCATAAACAATTTAAACGTAACAATTAATCCGCTACGACCGACTCCAGTGGCGGCACGCACGCTAACGCCATGCCATCATCCTTCAGGGACCCCCTTATTAATAATTTAAAACACACAACTACCGCCCCTACACGATGCGGCCCCTTCTCTCTCTCTCTTCGTGGCGTTCCTCGCGCTCCGCTGTCCGTTTCCTCGTAAACACATTCCTGCGGAGGGAGCTGGTAGGAACGTTGGGTTGCTCGGTCAATGGCCAGGGTCAACGGCGGCGTGGTGTATTCCGCAAATATGGCCGACTGTGAGGGCAGGCACAAGCCGGCGTGAGTAGGTTAAACGTTGAGTTTTATAAGGGCACCACGGGGTGACCAGCCCCTCCCCACCCAGCCCAGCCCAGCCCCACCCCTCCCACCCCCCACCCAGCCCCACACAGCCCCTCCCCACCCTCCCCACCCAGCCCCTCCCCACCCTCCCCTCCCCACCCAGCCCCACCCTCCCCACCCAGCCCCTCCCCACTCTCCCCACCCAGCCCCTCCCTCCCCACCCAGCCCCTCCCTGCACGACGGACGGACGGACACAATAATCCCCTGTGGGCTGGTGTAACCAGGAGGTTCCTACCAGTATCATCGCTTACCTCCTTGATCTCCCATCCTCCCCCCCCCCCCCCACACGCTTTTCGTTCCTTTTGTTTTCCCACTGCGTGTTACTGACGAACACAACGTGGTCAAATTACTCCTTTTAAACAAACAAAAAAAAGACAAGAGGCTGTTCTTTTTTAAAAAAATTCATTATAAAGTGCCCAATAATCGTTTCGGCTCTAGTTCATGGAATGGACAGTCATTCAATATCACTGTGGACAACTCAAATTGATGACATCCGTTTCGTCCAGATGATGGCATTAGTTGTATCTGAGGTAACAAAAACAAGAAACACAGGTGGTGCCACGGTCTGTAACCCTACGGGCCGTGGCGTAAACACCACTGTAGTCTGCGCTCCTCCAACAGAGGAGGAACGGCAAAACGACACGAAATCTCTAAACTCCTGGAGCCTTGTCGTCGTGGCCACCATCCCTCGACATTGGTATCGAGAGCTCCCCCCAACATCATGTCGACGTATGCAAAATATAAAATTATATTCAAGTAACGATGATCCGTCCAACACATTGTTTGCCTGTGTCCAGGTATAGCCGAACATGTTTTTCACGTAAAAGTAACATAAACAAATCAGGCAACATTGTGTATTGCTGCTGCCTTTCAGTTACAACTTTGGGGGAAAAAGCCACTATGTGAAGGAACAACACGCTGGATTACGAACGTTCGTATGGAAAATGTAGTGACTATTATTTTAGCGGTGGTGCTCGAACAAACACAACATCTCATCATTAGCCCGCACCTCTGATTAGTACGGTTGCCTACGTAAGGCGCAAAATAAGCTCAACATACATGCATGCATTACAACTGCCATACGTCAGAAGAAAATATAAAATAGGCTGATTGGTCAGGTAAGAACCCAGCACAAAAGGGCCACACGCACACGCGGCTGCTGACGAAACTGAGAAAGTCAAAACTGATCCAGAGAATGTGTGCTTAAGCAAGCTGATGAGAGAAAATATCAGATCCAGTAGGCCTACATGCTCATGTAGTAGACTATTTTTTTTATTTTCGTGTGCTGAAGCAGACCCCCTGTCCGTCCATGATTGTATTATCAGCTACAATAGACCACGCCAGTAAGAGGGTGCATCATATGTACAGCCACAGTGATTTCAACAGGCCTCTTAACCGACACCAGGTTTTATTATGGCACGGGGAAATACATGCTCGTTTTCGACAGGCACCTGGTTACACAATGGATACCTGGTCATATGGCGAAACAAAAAGAACATCCGTAATAGAGGTTTTGTGGGTTAGATCGCGTAAATATATAAATGTGTCGTTAAAGCCGCAACCACAAGTGTTCGTCCTCACCTGATGACGGACGCTTGTGTTGCGACCGAAACGTCGTTTTCCTTTATTATTATTTTCTATCTACGTGACTTTTTTTTTCACGTAAAACGTAAAGCCTGCAAAGTGGAGTTGATCCATTGGTGCACCCTTCCCACGTGCCCCGCTAAGAAGTGCTCGTTAAATGACAACCAAAGTCAACGTAGTCCTCAGAGTTGCAATACGCCTAATTCAGCGATGAGCCAAACTTAAAATGATAATTATTGGGCACCCATTGGTGACTGGGCAGATAACCACTTAAAGCTCACTTGAACTTGAAACTCGGTTTTAATCACGGGGTGGCTGAAACTAATATCTGTTCTGTATAACTATATATTTGGTGAGATGTTAACTACCTCACCTGGTATACAGGAGGTATTGGGTTCGATCCCGACCCTGACGCCTGCTGCTGCTGCTGTATATTTGGAGTTTGCGTGTCTCTCTCTCATAATCATCACGGTGGCTAGGAGATGTTAACTACCTCGCCTGGTCTCCAGGAGGCTGTGGGTTCGATCCCGACCCTGACGCCTGCTGCTGCTGCTGTATATTTGGAGTTTGTATGTTATCCCCATGGTCGGATGTATTTTTATCAGAGTCCTCTGGGTTTTCCCACCGCTTTTATTTGGCTACTATAAATTTCCACATGATCAGCTACTTCGTTGAGCTATCATTTGTGGACAGGTCGTTTATGAAAAAGAGCTACATAGCTCAGTGGGCCTTGCACCTGGTTAAAATAAAAAGGAGTAGATAATCGCAGGACGAGCATGAAAGAAAACCCGACAGCTGATTGAGCCCTTCCTCATGAAATAAACAAAATCTGAAAATCGAAATCTCTAATCTACGAAACCCAGATTTCGGACCGAGGATCTCATTGACCTGGACATTCATTTCAGTTTTCATTTATTAGACATAACCCTGTGAGCCATGTGGCTCTTGACTCGGGTGCAACCGCAAACAAAACAAAAACATGAACAAGAAACATCTTAAAGTGACTACACGCAACAGAAAAATCCTGGGGAAAAAAACAGCAAAAGTCTTCCAGAAAAAAACACCGCATTTCAACGCTGTGTGCAAAAATCCCAGTGGGATGCAAGTCAAACAATAACAACCACGAAACAATGTAGATTAAAGTTATCAGGCCAACTCTGGACTACGGCAATGGCGTGAGCTCGTTCACCGACCAAGAGACTCACCGGACAGAGAAGAATAGTACGACAGGCCCCGAAGTTCGGCAGAATTCGTGGTCCAAGACTCTGCGCTCGAGATGAAGCCAGTTCCAATGCCCTCTGTAGACGCACACACACACGAGTGGCACACACGCCACCCAAGCGATGCGCTCACTTTCAAGAGAGCACGGATGGACAGTTTCCAAGGTAACCACACACTCCCCCCCTCTTCTCCTCCAACGCTTGTGTGTTTACTGCCAGACCTATAGAGTGTGCTAGGTACACAATGGACGGACGCATCCCCATTGGACCGTCTCGGATGAGTTTTTGTAGTGCGTGCGCAAAAAAAGAGACGTGGGCAAGGCAATTAGCTTGATGAGCAAGCCCGAAATCAGGTGGATGTATTTCACACGGTTAATGGCAAGATCACGGTTATTAGGCAGTGCATCGTAGCGTAAGCTAGTTTTCACATTTACTGTATATTGAATCCAAACTAACTCGTGTCTTCACATTTTGAAACATCTAGTATATTCTCTCTTAATGGGCTCTTGATACACTGTGATGTTGTCAAGCCAAGTTTTGCTGTTATTGTATGCATGTATGTTAAACGTCTTTCACACAGTAAGTAGCCAATCACGCTAATTGGAGGTGTGGAGGAAGGACAATCTGCCATCAAGCCATTATTTGACCCTCGATTTCTCAACCTACCAACCCACTTATTATCCAGTAATTCATCTCTATAATAAAAACAAAATGCCAGTTCATTTACGGTGGCACGCGTTAACTTCCAACATTTTCCCGCTCAGATAAAGACATTTATTTTTTTTATAAGGAATTGATTTACAAACATTACACGATATCGGTTCAGCCAGCTACGGTGTGTTTGTAAGATACATTTATAAAGTCTGAATAAACACCACCATATAATCTTAAGTGCAGTATATTCCAACAGTAGCAAAGTTACAGAGCGAGCTTATTGCCATTTTCTCCACAATAAATGTGTTCTTCAAAATTGTAAGTTGACAATATTTATCGGCCTCGGCTGTATTTTGCTTCACGTCACGTGAAGAAATCAATCTCTATGGATAATAACAATAATCGATACATTACGCATAATCCATACAGTTCTAAGCGTAATAACCTTCATCCGACACTATGGCGCGGACGACATTGTACATCAAGGAAAGGCAAAACAGAAATACTTCATATCTGTGAAAGCCTTATCCGTATTTTAATGTAAGTAGGAGGCTAAAATGTTTCACAGATATATCTAAGTGTCATCCCAGAGTGTGTGTGTGTGTATGGGAGATGCTAGAAATAGTATGCTGCTCAAAGGGTGCTGAGATTATATCGATTGTATCACCTTGCGAGGTTATATATATGTCGTTATAGCCCGTATACAGTATATCAAACACTGGCATAACCTCCACAACATTGAAGTGTAAGCTAATGAGAGCCCAGTGCACATGGTTTATGGATGCGGCCCTATCTCGCTCTGTACAAAGCTCCATTTAAAACTGGGGAGGTCCCTTATCAGAAAATGGCTTTCAAACAAGACCAAGGAAAAGCGTAAATCATCGTGCGCGCATCAAACGGGCCCTCTGAACAATAAGCAATGAAAATGTCATTTTGATTGCAAAAAAGAAAAACGGAGTGTTTTTTTGAAGACAATAATGACCGCTTGTGAAGGCGTGATCAAGTTAATTATTGTAAGGAACGCGATGCCACGGTTGCAAATGTTGCTTGTGCAAGTCACAATTTACAAATGTTATTTGTGCAAATCACAATTTACAATACACTTAATGAATAAAAGCAAATAAATTGATGTTATTTGTAAATGAACACGCACACACACACCCTGGGTAAAATTGTGATGCATTCACTGGTTTTTCAGTGCATTTGCTTGAAAGTCAGATGTTAAAAATATATACGAATAATAATCAATTTAATGAGGCAGTTATGATGTGCTACGTGAACAGGAAAGGCATTATTAAATCAATGCGATCGTTCTTCTGAAAATGCCTGCGAATTAATGTAAATGTGAGACGTGACAGATCGAGTGCCAGCACTACATTTACGGCAATGCTTTATTCATACACAGTCTATTGGTAATGTGTGCACTCATGAATTAATGCAAACAAACGGAATCATACATTTTGACCAGGTTTGCTCGGGTGAAGTTAATATTGTTTCACGAGGTTGAGAGTTTACTAGGCCAGGATAGAGTCTACATTTCCTAGCGTGAACTGTGGCATGAGTCTGCTGCCAGCAGGGGGACCACAAGTGTAAAATCCCAATTGAGTAATTTGTGATGAAAAAAAAAAATTTGCAACAACAAAAAATGTGGATCCTGAACGCCAGCAAAATGACCAGCTCTTACCATTGACAGCACGGGATCTTTCTACGTCTATTCGGTGGCGTACGGGGCCACCGTATTGTCGTCATTCACGGTTAATACACCCAACGTAGCAGCAATAACCAGGGCTGCCCACTGGAGTGGAACCGTGAACTTCTGCAACGAGCGGCGAGTATGCTACGGTTTGGCCACGTCAACGCCCTATCCTCCTGCTGGCATGGAGATAAGAATCATCTGAACTCATATTAATAGTGAGAGCTAATCATCATCATCATCAGCTGTATTTTATCGACTGCTGGGTAAAAGTCACCTCATGACAACGCCATTACTCATGGTCCAGCGATGCTACAATCCATCTTGCTTGTGCACATGGGGTAACATCGCCATGCCATCTGTGTACTGAAGACTGAAACTAAACTAAACACATTTCTGTATGTACCAAGGTAAAGCCCACTGAGCTATATAGCTCATTTTCAGAAGCGACCACAAATGATAGCTCAACTAAGTGGCTTATTATGGGGAAATGTATAGCAGCCTAATTCCTCTAAACGCACGTTGATTCTAAACGTGGAGGGGAAAATCCCGAAGGATCTCGAGAAAAATCCAAGTCACCACGGGGAGAGAGAGAACATGCAAACTTCCATATATACAGGGGTCAGGGTTAGGGATCGAACCCACGACCTCCTGTATACCAGGCGAGGTAGTTAACGTCTTTCGTTCAAGTCACGTAGATAGGTTCAAAGAAAATAACAAAAAACTACGACGTTTAGATCGCAACACAAGCGGCCGTCATCAGGACCGCTTGTGTTGCGATCAAAACGTCGTAGTTTTTTGGTATTTTCTTTGAACCTATTTACGTGACTTTAAAGAAAGACCCAATAATATAACAGCCGTGCGTTGTTATTAAACACCTGCATCTCCCGAAGGAGTAATCACAACCGCCTCCGTCGTCGTCAAATCATCATCATCAAAGGTAATACAAAAAGAACATTGCTCTTTATGAATGATTATTTATATTCGTCATTGTTATTTTTCATTTATAATTCCCTCCCCCACTTCCAATGTTCACTCATATCAGGAACTTGAACCGAATTTTGACCATGGGCACAAGGTTTCTGCATTCGCGAGCGTTTGCAAGAAGGCAACCCTCGCGGACAGAGAGGGTTTACTAAGCTTGAGTCGTCTTACAAGCTCAAAATGCGATATTTTAAACGGTGCATTGAAAACCGACAATATAAATACATCTGCTTCGACATCTTTTGGTGTCGTATACGCGTAGATTATACACAGATAATGAACGTTTGCAAAGTAAAGCCACAAATAAAGCAACTGATACGCTAATTATTTTTGTTGCAGTCTCGCAAAGGGTTTCACTTGAATTTGTGAAGCAACCTTCACAATCATTTATATTTCACATCTATATAGTCGATATAAAAAGAAATAAATACAATCGCAGGATCCTCTTGACACATTAAGTCCCTTCTTGGCATGGATCTAACCAGCTGCAAAACAAAATTAACGCTAAGTTACAGTAACAAATTGTAATTATTCCAATTATAGCGCGGGCTAGTGTGACGTTAAATGGCCTGATGTAATGACACAAGCAGATGCTGGAACATTTACCGTAATTATGGCCTTTCCTGGCCGTGGCAAATATACCACGTGTCGGACGATTTAATTCGCTGGGGTACTGCCAGCTTCGAGAAGTGGCATCTACCGGTTACATCGCAGGGCGATAAAAATACAAATGGATCTTCTTGGTTATTTCGGTAAAGTCACGTAGAAGGGAAATAATAAAATAACAAAAATAAAACATAATAAAATAATTCTCACGACGTTTCGGCCACAACGCAAGCAGCCGTCCTCAGGTGAAGAACAGGTCTGTCGGAAAGACAGCGTCTGGCCGAAACGTCGTGAGAATTATTTTATTATGTTTTATTTTTATTATTTTATTATTTCCATTCTACGTGACTTTACCGAAATAACCAAGAAGACGAATCCCTGCAGTCACGAAAGCTTTAAATCGAAATACAAATGGAATTAACATTTACCAAAGTACATTTTGTACATGGCATACATCCATTTTTGGTAAGTTCACCGCGACAATTAGTGAACAACTGCAGTCGTAGAATTGGTGACTTTGTGAAAACCATCATTTCATATTCCTAAACTGAAAAGGCTTTCATTGCTAGCTGAACGAGAAGTTAGGGCTCATCGTTTGATCGTCTCACCAAATGCCCACCCCTGTTTTTTTTTTTTTAAGATGTTGGTACTCGCTGCACGAACCTGAATGGATATTCACCGCTTTCTTATTTCACGTGGCAAGGTGAAAATTGCAACACCGGGGCCGTCCATAAATGACGTCACGCAATTTTGAACGATTTTTGACCCCCCCCCCTCGTCACACGGCGTCACAAAAAGTCAGACCCCCCCTCAAATATGAGGTCACAAAGCTCTGCCCCCCCCCAAAACCATATTTCCATTTTCAAAATAAAACATGCTTCAAATCGCTTTAAACTATTGTCATTGTAGTGCGTATTTAATATGGCGCTGCACTCTGATGTTGTGGGAGAAAACATTTATTACAAAGTATATTTAATAAAATACGCTGCCAAGCTTAGTAGTGTTTCTTAGGACGCTGTCTTTCCGACAGGTCTGTTTCTTCACCTGAGGACGGCTGCTTGCGTTGTGGCCGAAACGTCGTGAGAATTTTATTTTATGATGTAAATTTTTGAATATTTTATTATTTCCCTTCTACGTGACT